GTTCTTTGCGGATGATAGTTTGCTATTCTCTAAAGCAAACCAAATAGAGAGCGAAAGGGTGAGGCACATACTAAGAAGATATGGAGAAGGTTCGGGAAAACTAGTGAACTTTGAAAAATCACTATTGTTTTTTAGTACCAACACGTTAGAGGTCTCCAGGGAGAATGTAAGCAGACCGACTAGAAAAAATACTTGGGACTGCCAACGATGGTAGGTAGAAATAAGAGGAAAGCCTTCAGTGATATTGTCAACCGGATAAAAATGAAGATCCAGCATCGGAGGAAAAGATGTGTCTCTCAAGGGGAAAAGAAGTATTTATCAAACCAGTGCTGCAATCCATACCAGCATATCCCATGAACTATTTCCTTTTCCGTAAAGGGCTTTGTGAACAAGTTAATAGCCTAATTAGTAACTATTGGTGGAGCTCTAAAATAGAAAGGAATGGAATTCATTGGATGAAATAGGGCAAGTTGTGCTTATCAGAAAGAAATAGAGGCTTGAAGTGTCGAGAATTTGAGTGTTTTAATTTAGCTTTACTTGGGAAGTAGGGATGGGGGCTGCTGAAAAATATAGATTAACTTCTGCATAAGGTGCTAAAAGCTAAATGTTTTCCAAGCTAATCCTTCTTAGAAGCTTTCTTAAGTTCACCAACGAGGTGTTGGCTCAGTGGTAAGCAATCTGACTCCTAGTGGACTTTACTTGCCAAAAACAAGGATTCGAAACTTGGAAAAGACCTTTGTTGACAAGAGAGGTAACTTAGGTAATCACTGTTCTTGAATCACTGATGCTCCACTCCTCAAAATAATGGCACCATTTCCGCCACCATTTCTTATAAAAAAAAACACCATCTTTCACATGGAAAAGTATTTGGACAACTCGTGAAGTGTTAAAGTTAGGGTTATGCTGGAGAGTTGGTAATAGGTGTAAAATTAGAATTTGGCATGATATGTGGCTGCCAACAAATAGGGTGTTAGTGTTTCCAACCAATCGGAGGCGGCTGCATGATAGGACATTAGTGGCGGAGCTAATAGAGCATTAGACTAGACAATGGGAAAAGGAACTGATTTATAGTATCTTTACAGAAAAAGAGACAGATCTGATATGCAGTATCCCACTTGGTCGTTTTGTGCATAGTGATGAACTAGTGTGAAGTGCTAAAAAAAGGAGTTTATATGGTTAAAAGTGCCTACCTAGTCAGCCTCAATAGACTGATGGGGACATCAATGGCATAAGCACAACATGATCAAGCTGATGGTACATCAGAGAAGAGGCTTTGGCCTATGCTATGGAGTGTCGGGATCCCAAACAAAATTAAGGTTTTTGGATGGAGGCTTAATCGTGGCATACTGCCTATTTTTAGCAACCATAGAAAATGAAATATTGAGACCCAAATTTTGTGCCCACAATGTGGACAACATGAGGAAATTGTGTTACATGCAATCAGGGATTGTGAAAGGGCAAAATAAGCACGGTTAGCTGCTAGTGCTAACAGTACATGGACAACTCAGGGCCATATAATAGACAAAGGATAGTTGATCATCTTGGTGGGCTCTATTGATAAGAACAACTTTGAAAGAGGGTTGGTAGTAAGCTGGGCTATTTGGCATGGTAGGAACCAAATTATTAAGAACAACGAGTGGAAGAGCTCTCAAGTCACAACAAGTTTTGCCATAAACTACCTCTAGGAATTCAAGAGAACTCAGGAGACCATGGTACAAAACACGGAGGACAAAGGAAATGGACACCACCTTAGCCTGACATGATCAAAATCAATTTTGATGGTGCCCTAAAGGTGACAGAGGTAGCAGGTGGAATAGGAGTGGTGGTAAGGAACAATGGCGGGGAAGTCCTTGGAGCTGCATCAACATATATAAGGGTGTAATGGATCCCTCAGTGGCAAAAGCATATGCTGCAATGGCGACAATTACATTTGCAAGAGACTTAGGATTCACTTAATTATTCTTGAAGGAGATGCCTCTGAAGTCATTAACATGCTAAATTCGAAGTTAGAAACTTGTCTATAATTGGCAATATTGTAGGAGATGTGAGGATCTTGCAATAAAGCTTCGAACACTTCAAAGCTATCCACACAAGGCGCCAAGCTACTAAGGTTGTGATCCATTGGCAAAGCATGCACTCGAGACGATAATGGATTTGTATTGGGTAGAGGAATATCCCTCCATCCTATAGGATACTATTATCACATATTGTAATAGACTTTGATTAATGGAAAGCTTGTTTTGATTAAAAAAAAAAATGGTTTGGCCAATAAAAATGTTAAGAAAAGTGTCAAACGCCCATTTGGAAATTAAAATTATTGTATACACGAGTGATAATATTTTGTACTTCACAAACTAAGGTTGACACGTGTGTTGTTTAAGTATATTTATGATAAATTAATTATGAATGGACATGTGACAACTATTGATTTAACTCGTCTTTAAGGAGCGTCATAAAATTTCCCTATTGTTGTATAGAATACATAGAATAATATTCCAATTTATTTTCCCAATAGTTCAATTTATTTTCCCTTATATTTTAAGAAATTTTTTTATTGTTCCTAACTAAGAAAAAAGTTTTTGGAAATCCATATTTTTGGTCAATAAGAAAAAATGTCTCCATTTTTTTACCCTTTTTAATATGATAATAGTGATTGCCCCAACATTATTGCGGGTCAATATTTTTTTATTTTTCCATCCCTATTCATCATCGATTTTTTTTTTGTTAAAAAATTTATCTAATTTTTTTTAAAAAAGCAAAAAGTATAATAAAAACTCAAATAGGAATAACATGTGGATATATAAATTGTTCTCTTATTCTCATAAAATATATTTTACAAAAAATAATTTTTTTTATTTTATTTTTTTGTACGTGAAACACACTTAATATAAAACTTTCAACTAAAAAATTGATAAATACATACATATATATAAATATAAAATTAAATAAATAATAAAATATATATTTTATATAAAGTGGCTTGGAGTAGAGCATCATAAATTCACTTTTGACCCATCCTCAATTTCTATAAATAAAGACTCAAATTGATTTGGTCATATCAAATTGAGACGGAAAAAAACTTATCAAAAACTTATTGTTTTGTCATCTTTATCAACTGACTCATTTGATGTAAAATTGAACTAATTAAAAAAATAAAATTTTAGAAAACATGAAAGAAAATAAACAAATTGAGGTGCTAAATGGGCACCTCTATTAACATTATTTTCTTACAAAAAATTAAAAAAAATGTTAAAAAGAAAAAAAAAGGAAAGTAAAGAAATATAAAGTGTCATGTTGATACTTTAAATGAGGACGAAATAAAAATAAAAATAAGTAGAATTTATATAATGGAGGATGGATTAAACTTTTTTTTTGAAAATTGAATGGATTAAATCTTAATTATTTATCAATGTAGTATTTTTTTATTAAATTATGATATTAAATCATAATTTAAGTAATATAATACATACATGTATATATATAATAAAATAAATAATTGACAAATAATTATATATATATATATATATATATATATATATATATATATTATATATATATACACTCAGGGTAAGATTGAAGAATCTAAACTTGTCTTAGATTGGATCTCAATTTTAAAAAAGGAAAAATTTTACCCAATTTCACTCAATCCTGAAATTTTTTAAAAATCTCACATATTGGACCAATGTAAATCAAAACCCATTAAATATGAATTTTTTGTCATCTCTACATCTATTGACTTTTTGTTTTACAAAATATATTTAATTAAAAAGTTAAAAATTAAAATTTAAAGAAAATGATGAGAAAAAAAAAAAGAAAGAAAATGAAAGCAAATGAGAATGGCATAATGCATATATCAAAAGGATAATACACATACCTTAATACATTAAATTAAGGTATTAAATAATAATTTTGTTAATATAATACATATATCTAAATGATGAGCTCTTTTTTACAAAATTTAATAATGAAATTTAAAAAGAAAAAATTCAAAAAAGTAAAAAATAAATAAATAAAGGATCAAAAAAGAAAACAAATATTACATCCAAATTGATGTCAATACATCTTTAATATCCTTCTCTTAAAAAAAATTATTATATTAAAAAGGGAAAAAAGAGAAAAAAAAAGTTGTTTAATCAACAATATCAATTTGGCATTACATTTATTAAAAATGTTAAAGGTATAAAAAAAATTATTAAACATTTTAAAAGGAAAAAAGTAAATTAAAAAATTAAAAAAAAATGACTTGACGCGTGACATATCTTTGGTATCAAAGAGGTTAAACAAAAAAGTTTTAAAGTCTTAAAAATATTATTAAATATATATGAAAAAGAAAATAAGAGAAAAAAAATAAATACATGACATATCTTTGGTATTAAGCAGATTCCACACAAAAAATTAAAAATTTTAAAAAAATTAATATAAAAAATTAAAAAATAAAAGAGAAAACAAAACAAATGATTTGACATGCGGTATATCATTGATATCAAGTGAGTTAAATAAAAAAATTTTAAATATTAAAAATATTTATTAAATATAAAAGATAAATAATAGAAAAAAATAAAACCTTTGATATTAAGTGAGTCTCATAAAAAATTAAAATTTTAAAAATATTAATTAATTTTTTTTAAAAAAGAAAAATAAAATGGTAAAAAAAAGCTTGTTATAAAGTGGATCCCACCTTAAAAAAATTTAAATTTTTTAAAAATATTTATTAAATAATTTTAGAATATAGAAAAAATTATTAAAAAACAAAGAAAAAAAAAGATGGGATGAAGAAGCGTCATGTTACGCTACTAAGGGATTGGCATTGTATTCCGTACATTACCAAAATTATATAATGGATAAAACTGCTTATATTGGATCAGGGTGACATGTGCAAAGTTAAAATACGTAAAATTTATATAACAAGTTTTAAAAAAAAAAAATCGCATAAAAAGGAATATAAAAAAATTTTGGGGCTTCAAAGTAAAATGGGAAATGGGCCAAAATTCAAAATTCAAAATCATAGACACCTAAGAAAGCCCAAGCCAGCCCAGTCCTAAAGCCGCATGACTTGTATTAGGGTTTTCCATTTCCCTCTGTCGAAATTTGGAAGGCAAACAAAAATTTCCATGAACCATTGGCACTGAGTTACTCAGCTGCAAAATCATTTGGGTTTTGCTCTTCCTCTCGCGAAAGTTTTTGAATCGGTAATCTGTTATTACTTTATTTTCTTATAATTCTGTAAAATTATTTACATTTTGATTAATTGTCTCGAAGTTGGGAAAATTTCTTTCTCATAATCTTATTTTTTTTTTTATTTCGATTAATTTGCTATAATCAAAGTTTTTATATAAAATTTCTGTAATAAACATTTTTATATGAAATTTGTTTTTAATGTTTTCTTTTGATTTTATTGATATATTTTGTTTAGAAATATAGCAAAAGACTAAATCTTGCTATGGAAAAAAGAAAGGTGAGAAAGGGAACAATGTACTATTAGGTAAAGAAAATTATAATCTTGTTTAATTAAACTGTTTGTTTTGTGATTCTGCCTGTGTCTGCATCATTTCAATATTTGATCGTTGCAATTCTCATTTGCTGTCTTGCATGGCTGAGGATGTGGAGAGTTTAAAATGGTATATGTTTCATTATTGAAGGGTGGTCAAGTCTATTGGCGCATGAGGGTTGTTCAAGTTGTACTTTCTTTGGTAAATATGTTGTTTCACTTCTAGCTATTGTGCATTTTCATTTGAACTATTTCATGAACTGATGTTGCAGGGTCGAGAGAATAATAGGAAGTCTAGATGTTGGGGAAAGGAAGGAAAGTGTCTGGTAGAGGAGAGACGGTGGCTGCTAATTATGCTTTTGGCCCAGCTGAAGATGATATCATTATAAAACACAGGCTTCTGACCCGTACCACTACTACAAGAGGTGAACCCCCATTGAAGAAACTTCAAAGGAAGTTTACCTCGTTTGTGCTAGAGGTTGAGAAGGGTGAAGATAACTATAATGATTGTGTGAAAGTTTCCAAGGCTTTCTTACAAGAGTTGTCTACTTTTGAGATTCCTCTACTAAAGAGTAAAGCTGTTATTGATGCAAATCTTAGAGAGAAGGAGAACTTCAATGAGTTAAAAGATGAGATAAATAGGCAGATATTGCAGGCACAGACTGACATAGAAGATCTAAAGAAATTACTTGAGGAAAGTAAGATTGAGAGACAGCACAAGGAGGAGTGTGAGGCAATTAGGAAATTGATTTCTGCACAGCCACCGAGATCAGAAACACAAAAAAGTATAACAGAGTTAGAGAAAGAGATTGCAGCATTGGAGGCAGAGAATACTGCTGGTTCAAGGTTGCTGGAGCTCCGGAAGAAACAGTTTGCCCTGTTATTGCATGTGGTATGTTAAAGTCTGCTTGTAACTTGCATGCTTTTTCCACTATTCCTGTTCCACTGTTATTGCATGTGGTATGTTAAAGTCTGCTTGATATTCTGGGTTAGCTAATATATTTTGATTGTGTGAATATTATCACTTGAAATTCCTCTCCAAGAACAATCTTCCTCCGCACAGCATTCTCCATAATTAGTTTTCTTTTGAGTCTAAGATATTTCCTAAAACTGCTCGTGCTGCTGGATTCCATATTTCCATTCTTAGAAGTTGATACATATTTAAGTCATTGCATGGGTTTATCTAGATTCTGAGTTTTTGTTTCCTTTCTATTGCACAATGCCTCTTAAATTCTTCCTTGTGGGACTTGGTACATTTTCTCACAAGATGGATATGAGAGCGAATATCTTATCAATCTAATCTGTAATGATTGGAAAATAGGGATGAATCCATTAAAGTAAGTGGATGGAACTTATACCTGATTTCCTTGTCTGCTTTTTTTGGTCTGTACAACTTTATTTTTGACAAGATCTTTCACATACCTTTTTCCTTATTATATTCTTTCAAGGGAAACTTAAGTTATTTGAGCTGGATAAGCAGATTGCGTATAGTGAATGCAGCTTGATCTTTCTATTATTCCAACTCCTACATAGAGCTTCTAAGATAATCAATTGGCATCAAGCACTGCTGTATTGTTGATCTCGCACAGCAATTCAACAGAATTGGTTTCACATTCCCTACTGATTTATTTGGACATAATTTGGAATAAAATTGCTCCATTAAGCTCTTTTATGGTCTTTTCTCGCATATACTCTTTGCAAAAGAGCCATAATCGAGTATCTTTTCTTATTTTAAATTACAATTTAAATGGAATGGTATCATTCTTAAAGTCCTGAAACTGAACATTTTTTTTAGTTTGGTGATTGCACTACTTTAGTTTGAGATGTATTTGTCACCATTCTCACGTGTTGCCCTTTCTGGTTTGGATTCTGTTATTCTAAATGCAGTGCAATTCTTTTGTAATTTTTGGAGCTGTGTTTTGCATGATAATAGATAAAATGGAAGCAGGATGAATCTGCGGTATGCTAAAGCGCTTAAAAGACTGGTTGAATCTGTATGATGTGTTACTAAATTTTTCATCGTGTTACATCAACTTTCATGCAGGTGGATGAGTTGCAAAATACCATAGAGGAGGAACAGAAGAGTTTGATTGAGGAGATGAGAATGGTGACCGAAGAGCAGAAGAGTGGAATGGAAGATGCCGGTGGGGGCTCTGAAGTGATGGCTGTTGATTAGCTGGGTGCTGCATCTAAGTTTTGCAGTTGTAAGGTTGTGTACTTCTAAATCATGATCTACTTCTATTCATGCAAATATTTATTTTGAAGTCAATGTAGCGGAACATCATAATATTCTTAACTGTTGTTTGTTCATATTTGAGCAAATATTTGAATTACTAATGATCTACAATCAGCATAGGATGTGGAGAGGTGGCTTCCACCTCCTCTATATGATACTGCTTTTTGTTAATTAGTCCATCAATCCTCCTTTTAGTATTGTGGTACCTGTTTAAACAAAACTAATGAAAGTAGTTATTTAAATTTGGTTTCTTTATTTAAATTCCATGTGCTCAGTATTATTGGAACTTAAAATTCTGTGACCTCTTTATCTTGTTGTATGAGCAAGATCTATTCTTATGTTCTTTGGATATGAAGTGTCTTGTTTAACTTTTTGGAATAATGAGTTGGACCAAGGTTCTATCTTAGGAACAGTCTCCATTTGAGTTCTTTTGTGTGTATAAGGTTTTAGTGACTTGCATGCCAGTCACTTTTTCTTTCCTCAAAATTCAAATAATTTTGAAAGTTGGAGTTTAAACTTATCACTAGCAAAAGTTCAGTAGACATATGCTGTTCTGAAAGTGTGTAAAAGGTGCATCACTGCTATGTAAGGAAGAATGCACAATTGCTTAAAAGCCACATCACTACTACATCAGGATGAATGTGCAAGGAACTGACTAAATCTCAACCTAAGTCCTTAGATAGTAAGATAATTATCTTAATTTTTCTGTGGACCAATTAAGAGCTAGTAGTTTTTGCAAGTTTTGCGTGGGGATTAAATTATTGTGGTGATTTATTTTTATTTTTTAAGAGGGCTGAAGGTTGGAATTTGGAGAGAGTCAAGTGGGGAATATGATGAGAGCATAATAAACTGAGATGACTTCATCAGGTTGCTTTGCAGAATCAGCTAGTTTTTACATATGCATATTCATCCAAGTTCCAATGTATTTCATTACATATGATTTTTGGGTTATTTGTTTGTGCATGTATAACGATTGTCATATTTTTTTTTTAATGGTAATGAAATGAAAATTTGTGGAAGCCAAAAAGATCATCAGTATTACAGTATTTAATGCATACTTAATGGTTTTCATAATTGCTACAGCTTCTGTGTAATGAAATATAATGGAACTTAGATGCCAAAAGCGTGGATTAGTCTTGGTTTTAAGGTGGCAATAAGAAGTTTCTTTGTAATTTCTGCTAGTTTTGCAATGGATGTTTACAGTTGAAGCAGCAGCTAGCCTTGCTCTTGAGATTGTACTCAAGTGTCACCATGATTGCCTTTCCGTATGATACCCAAGCAAACACTAATGGTAGATTTCATCCTTCCAGTTGCTTCTCCCTGTCAATCATGCTCGAAGAAATAAAAGATTCAATGCAATACCTGGAACACAATTCAAGTTCCATAACAGTTCTGCGGACTCTGTAACTGATGTCCTATTTGATCTTGTCAATGGCATGTTTGATCTCTTTTCCAGGTGATGTAAATCTACCATTGCTTTAACAGCTAGTAGATTGACTCCCAGCTTGTAGAAACTTGCTCCAATATCTTTGCTTTTGCAATTGCAATTTGGAATACAAATTTCCCCATATGTTGCAGGGTTTGATGCTTACATGCCTAAATATCCAAAACTATATTGTAAGCTTAAGGTCTATTCCTGTTTAGGCAGCCAGCATCCTAATTTAAGTTGTGAGGGGAACGTAAGTGGACTTTCCTTTGCCTGATCCAATTAGAAACTATTCCTTTCCAGAGTGTAGAACATAATTGAAGGGAGGACCAAGCCTGACACCTCCCAATAGAAATATTATATGAACTATATATTTTTTTAAAATTTAAAGTTATCAGAATTTGAATTCTAAATACTGAAATTAAGAGTCAAAGTGTTTTATCAACAGTCATGCGACTGTTGGCAGGAACTATACTTTTCTAAGTATGCTTAAAAAAAAAAAAACCATTGATCATAGATGTATGACATAGAAATGTTAGATCTGCAGCTTGGGTCTGATTCAATCTTGACACCTTAGAATAAAAACTAACTAAAGAAGTTTTCTGCGTAAGATGGCTGATCTGTTCGTTTGGCTTTGAACTTTAATTTCTAAAGAAGTGTTGGCATGATATATATAGTTGATACTGTATTCCTTGAAATGCTAATTTTGTTGTTGATCTGTCCAGTAGGATGTGAAGTGTCGTGTATTATTTATTTATGGTATATCTGTCTGTAAGATATAAGGTATGAGTGAAAAGTTTGCGGGAAACATGATAATGACAAACTTGATCGAATGCCATTCTCGCCAATGTCACGCCCAATCCTACCTGCAGCTTCCATCGATCCTAACCACAACAAATCCCTCACCATCATTACTGCTATCATTTCGTTGCACCACTCACATCACCCTCAGTCCACACCCACCATCAAAGCATTTGAAAGAATATATGAATGAGAGAATATATTTATATAATATATATATATATATATATATATACACACGTACTTACATTGTGTAATTTGTACTTTTTTTTTAGATCATTAAATTACAATTAAATTCTTGACTCATTTGATTTAAAATAGATTCAAACGATAAAAGAAATAAGTTAATAAGAGCAAAATTGGTTTAATTTCATTCTTTGGATATATATATATATATATATATATATATATATAAATGACATTGATTTCAAAATAAATCCAAAAAAATGAGATTAAATTATTATTATTATTTTTTACTTGTCTTTCATAATTTTTAAATTTATTGAAATCATTAATGTTTTTAAAAAAGTGTAAAATTAAAAATGTTACAGCAAGTTAATCTATATATATATATATATATATATATTAATTAATATATGAGTAGTGATCAATTTACACAGTATAAAACTTTTTTTAGTTTTATGCATTTTTTAACCATTGATTTCAATAAATTCAATAGATAGATTAAATCATTCTTTTTTTTTTTCTATTTTTACTTGTTTCTCTTATACTTTGAATCTATTAAAACCAAAAGTTAAAAAATGTGTAAATTTGTTTTAATTTTACATTGTGTAATACATTTTTAACCATTGATTTCAACATATTTAAAGAATGACATCAAACTATTTTTTTTTTTTTTTTTTACTTCTCTCTCATTTCTTGTATTTATTAGAATCAAAAGTTAAAAAAATATATAAAACTAAAAAAGAATTACATTATATAAATTGATCCCTCTTCTTCCTCTTTATATGGATTACTTATTATTTTATTGTTTCCATGTCCCACCCAATTATCTTCAACTTTCCAATTGATATCTTTCCTTTCCTTTTGGATGGAATAGATATATCAAATATCCCATTCGAGCAACCATTCAAACAAAAGAATAAAATGCTTTACTAAGGTAACAAATTAGGGATCATATCATCTACAATTCTCTTTATTATAATCTTATAATTATTTAATTAAAATAAAAAATTATATAAAGATCCATCATTTTTAAATCTGAATTTTGTATAAAATTTTGATCGACTCCAAATAATTTTAGCGGTGATTGATTAATTGAAATATAATAATTATAGATTTTATGCTTTTAATAAATTTAAATCTAGTTATACAAATATAAATATATAATTCATTGGATTGGTTTTGGATCCCTTACCAAAAAATAGAAAAACTATTTCTGTCTTTGTGTATAAGAAATTCATTGAATCTTCTCAAGTTATATATATACAATAGTTTTCTTTTCTCCCATACTAAAATCTCATTTCTCTTTAAAAAAAAAAGTATAGTAATGCAAATAATGTTACTTGCAAACATGAATAAATGATATACATGTATGTATGTATGTATGTATGTATGTATACATATATAATACATCTTTACATAGGTGTACGTATAGATATATATTGTGAAAAGAATTTACCAATGTATAATTTAATAGAGAAGAAAGCCAAAATAATTGGTGAAGTTTATTTTTCATCATAAAATTTTGTGATTTAGGACTGTTTAAGTAACAATCAACATATTTGGCAAGGTAGGCAGAGTTAGTTGTTTTCTAAAGGTCAAATTGGATACCTACTAAATTATCATCAAATTCCTTTCTTTACTAGGTTAACTTGTAAATAGGGATTTCTCCATTGCTCTCTTATACTTATCCTTCAGCTTAGAAAATCAACAATATATATATATATATATATATATATATATAGTTTGTTTTTAATATGTGAAATTTTTTAATTTTACAAAGAAGATTATAAGGTTATTATATGTTTTACCTTTTTAAATATATATATATATATATTTTCCTATCATAGGAGTATGTATCATTACATTAATCTTGTTTGTGACGTTTAAAAACTTAAATGTGACGTGATAATTTTTCTTTTCTTCTCATCTTTTCCTTCTATCGTAAGGCAAATAAATATACAATTAATATTGAGTTTGAAATTACTAAACCTTCATACATTTTTCAACAACAGTGAACTAAGATGAAAGCTTGATATATATAAGCCACTCTTACACCAACACACTTCATTATTCTAGAAAGTAGCAAATTATGAGAAAGAGACTGTTAGGTTTTTCGATTGCTTGCCCTTTAGAGCTTTGCATCAATTTGCTTCTACTAAGTGGAAATCTCACCTAATGAGTAACAAATAGTCTTGACTTTTTACTTTTTTTTTTTTAATCATGAGGCAGTTGCAACTATCTATTAGTTCAGCAACATTAATTAATTTTATTTTTATTTTGGCTCACTTTTTGGATTATTATTTCAAGTGTCATTGTCCATGATCTTCATTGGAGTGAGACATTGCAAAAGACATTGGAAATATTTCTAAGCACGTTTTGGTCTTTGGGTTTTGTGACTGTCAATATTAATACAAGTTTGACAAGAATTTGTCCCCTTTCATACATCCAAGGTCTAACCCCCTTTTCTAATTGGAGAAAAAGAAAACATGTCTTTTTCACACATCAATTTCGTGTCCAAAACTATCTACAACTAAACTCATCCACTGCTGCTTGTCCCTGTCTCTGTGATTGACATAGCCAAAAATAAAAATCTGCATGATTAACAGCTATTCATGACTGGATGTTGCAGAAACTTAATAATAACCATTAACTTGGCAACTTAATCCGATCATTTTACATGTAACCCTTATGGAAATCAGCAAACAAATTGAGATAAAACAATTGGTATTACCGACGGAAAATTTTTAGCGTCTTGATTTCTGTTGATAATAATATTACCGACCTTTTTTCTTTTAGAAAGCAAGAGCAGAAATAATTAAGCAAAAGAATTCTTTTTTGAAAATATATATATAGAAAAAAATCCAAGGTGGTATTACACAGACCATATTACATAATAGCAACTAATGTGTTTTTTTTCTTTACACAATGGCACTTGGCGTCTTTTTTTTTTTTTTTTTTTGTTCCTTGTATTTAAATCTAATGAAAGACCAATTCTTAACTGATGATCAATGGCTGGATTTGTCTACAAGTTATTAAACCAAACTCTTTACATATCCAATCCGAAAGCTCTATTTAATTATGAGATGGACCATGACTGTGATGATGTCTGGCTGCAAATCAAGAAAAATGGATCATAAATTAATAAATAAACAAAATGCATACTCAGCAGAGCTTTTTGTTTAATAATGGCAAAAAAGGAGAATAGAAAATGAGGTAAGTTTTTATTATACTTACTCTATAATATCTCTCCAGTAGGAATCACTTGCTTCATCATCCATAAGATCTCCCCAAGCTTCAAAGGTGGTTGAAGTCGAAGAAGGGTTAGAGATAGGATCATTTGGGTTGATCTTGTTTTCAGTTTGATTAACAGTGGTGGCCGGTCGACGTTCGGGGGAGGCTGGCACTAATGCTGGGAGCTGTGGGGTTGAAGTTGGAATAGCAGGAGAGGATAAGGAAGAAGCAAATTGATCATTGCTGTTGGCACAGATTTTTAAGTCTTTCATTGGCTGGTGATATTCACTGAACTGTGCTTGATGTTGAGAAGCTTCTAAGTTGAGAAAGTTTGACTGTAATTGTGTAAGTTCATGTGGGGCAAAGCCAAATGGAAGATTACTGGTGTTCCCTTCAAGCTGAGAATTTATTCTAAGGAGTTCATATAGCTGATTTTCCCGGAAAGTTGGTCCTGCTAGAAGGTTCATTGCTTCCATAGTTGGAGGAGTATTGCTACTACTAGTACCTAAAACTTGAAGTATGCTATGCAACAAATGGATTTTTGCAAGCTGTGCAGCATCTGACTGTAACCTGAGAGTATTAATGTCTAAAGGAATATTCATCAGGTTATTGAAGTTGGCAGTAGCAAGCAGCTGTGGCAGGTTAGCAAGAATGTTGAGATGATCAGTTCTTGGTCTGTGAGTCACTGGATCAATCCCCATTTGGAGAAGCTTCTTCTTCAGATGGGTGTTCCAGAAATTTTTAATCTCGTTATCTGTTCTTCCAGGGAGATGGGTTGCTATTGCGGACCACCTGCCAATCGTTAAAACATAGCATTAGAATGAAAAATATAATATATATATATATATATATATATATATATATATATAAGATAACCAAGAGAAGAACCAGAAGCTGAAGCTTAATTAAGGTGGTTCATACAATCACTTTTCAAAGTTGACATTCAATAGCTTTGGAGTTGGAATCCCAAAATTCATAACCCCTTCCCCGGCCTTATATGTTTAAAAAAACAAAAAAAACAGATAGCCAAGAGAAGAAAGTAAAGAGAGTTTACTTATTGCCAAGAACTGCATGAAGATTGATAATGGTCTGCTCTTCTTCCTCAGAAAACTTTCCTCTCTTAATATCAGGCCTGAGATAATTAGTCCATCTAAGCCTGCAACTTTTTCCACACCTGTTTAATCCAGCTAGCTTTGGAAGTGCTCTCCAACTTCCATGCCCATGTTTCTGAATGTAATCTACAAGAATTTGGTCTTCCTCAGGCGTCCAAGGCCCTTTTTTCAGGCCATTTTCATCACAGCAAGATGACCTCCCCATCATCCCTGCAAAAAAAAAAAAAAAAGAGCATATGATCGTGTTCGTCACTTTGTTACAGTATTACAATTCAAGCAGCGAATAGAGGAATTAGAAAGGTTTGAAACCTTTGATTGGATTATTGGAAAAGAGCCGAAATTAAAGATAGGATACAGTTAGAGTTGGAAATGTGAGTGAATGGGAGCTTCTTTATATAGTGTGTGGATTGATGTTCAGGAAATTAATGTCAACAAAGCTTATACAAGAGAAGTATCTGCCCTGCAAGAAGATGTCATCTTTACATGCATTTGACACTATTATAAAAGAAAATTACTAAGGTGTCCTTGTCTACAAAGTTGATGGTTTTATTAAGGAATTCAATTCTAAATAAAGCAATAAAAATTTGTTTGCCATTCATATACATTTTTTTAATATAAAAAAGGCCATAATTTGAGAGAAGTTTTAAGAACTGAGATTTAAAATCAAACTTATTTGATGTTATTTTTTTTAAATGATTGTATGAATTTACTGAATTAAATCATAAATTCGTCGTTCATATAAATTTTTAAATTTCGTAAAAAATGTATATGCATTCCAAAGTAAAATTAATTTTTCTATCCGATAATTAACTACACAATATATATTTAAAAATCAAGATCATGACAACATATTTTTTTAATTATTATTTGTGAATATCCATTTTACTTATTTCACCTATGTGCCTACCTTTTAACTTTTTTTTTAAAGAAAATATATAAGAGACTAAACAATTATATATATGACTAATTGAAATATCATTATTTAGAAGAAAACTATGTCCAAAAGGCCAAAAACAAAATTGGATGCCAAAACAATCATCATTAATTAATTTACTCAAATATAATATATATATATATAAGAGTAGAACCTATTTTCTTTTTTTTAAAAAAAAAAAAAGAGAAGAATTAATTTATGGAGCTAGTCATCATTATCATATTAGAATATATATATATATATTAATTTTGAGATTAATGACTAAAATTTTGATATTTTCCACATCAGATAAGGCAAAAAAAGGTGCCTAGCTATACACTATTAGAATATTAACTTCACACCATTGACTAGATAGATGAAGTTCCATGGGGAAACTATCCTATTAAATAAAATGATAAATTTTAAGAAAATTTTTTATTATTTTAACCTTTAAAGGAATCGTGTATTTAAAATTTTTTACTAATATTAGATGGGTTGGGATTTGATTCCAATATTAAAAGGAATGGTGGAGCTAGATATCGTTGGAACAAACCAAATGGCATGGCCATTTTTTAAGTCGAGAAATATCAAAGAATTTTGCATTCATGAAATATCAGTTATGGTATCACAAGTAAAACAACATCTACTATCAGATAGAGATCAACAATAATCTCTTGATATGCAGAACTTCAAAAACAACGAAATTAAGGGAGCCCCTCCTTATCTAGGATAAAAACCAGAAAATATGAAAGTCTTTGAACCCAACCCTAAGGGCACATTCCCTAGGCTCCTTTTTCGCTACATACTAATATCGAAAAAAAAAAATTAGATGAAGTTTTTAAAATAAAATTTGTAAAGTTTTTTTTATTACAAATGATTAAATAAAAATTAAAAATCGATAAATTAAAAGATCATGTTACATAGATTAAATGTACAAAATTAATATATTTTTATATAGACATTTTTAGTAAAAATTTTGATAAAATTTTTACTATTAATCAAATATTGATCAAATTTTAATTATAAAATAATTTTTAATAAATCTTTTAGATATTATTGATTTTCACATTAAATGCTATTAATCTATTGATTTAAATTTTTTATTAAAACCTTTATTAATCATTTTGAAAAAAACATTTATAAATTTCACTTAAAAAATTTTATTTATATTTTCTCTATTAGCATCTCGCTTAATTAAAGATAATTTGGAGTCTTGGAGTTGTTTCTATTCTCAAAATCTACTAATATTGAAGCAATTCTCCATGTACCTTTGTTTGCTTATAGCTGATAAAATTTGACATGCATTTGTCAGCTTACCAAACTTTTCTTTTACAGCAAGCAAACAATGGTTTGACTATTAATTTTAATTTATTATAGATTGCTACAGACCTCGAAAAAACAATAGTTTAAATTAAAGATATTATCTTTAAATTTATATTATTTACACATTATTATAATTATTTTTATTTTTCATTTTCAGATTCGAATCACTTAATATGACTCATAAACTAATTATAACCATAGCCGTGAGCTTAAATTTTCGTTAAATTATAAACAAATAGATTTCATTTCCTATGAAATAATATTTTTCATTAAGTTATATTTTTAAGGGTATTTTGGGAATTGAAAGAATCATACGTAACCCAATTTCAACCCTCTTTTGTATGATTTTCTCTTATTAAACAAGGCAACGGAGCCTTTGCCACCTTTCTCTATACTTTACGCTAAGACACATCAGCAACTAAATTACACCAATTTTTAAGAGTAGGTTTACACGTGGCATTCAACCAATGCTTCATATGACTCTTTTGGTTCACTTCAGAAGAAATCTCTTTCAAAAATAACATTAATTTTTTTATTTAACATTTATATATTTATATCATATATATATATTTATATTTACATCATATATATATTTATATTTACATCAAAACGTATAAAATATAAAAATTATTGTATCATAACTTATATTTATACATCAAATATGAAATATATTTTATATTTTTATTAATTTATATATGATTTTTATTAATATTTTAAATTATATTTTTTTTTTTTGAATTACTTTTTATATCTAAAAGTATTCGAGTTTAATTTTTATTAATTTAACTTACTTTTATAAATTATTTGTTTATTTTATTCGGTGTTTGTCTGTAACTAAGAAGAAAATTACACGCAAAAGGCAAAAACTAATTCAGTCTTTAGATTGGACCCAACCAAACCTTAACAACTGATTTTAACATTTTTATTACTATATATTATTTTAATTTTGGATGTTAAAATCTAGTATAAAATATTTAGCTTATACTTTATGTTGGCTATAGATATATATATTTAATATCAAGTAAAGAAAAATAGTCCAAACTAATTTGGCTTTGAAATTTCGTTTGAGACTTCATTAGAAACATTAATTGGTTGCAACATAGTGTAAAACAATATATATAGAAAGGTTAATGTTACAAATGACTTTTGAATTATAGTGAAATATTTAATATAATATTTAAATTTTAAAAAATTTTAATATTATATTTGAATTATAAATTTATTAATTAATATGATATTTAGAGGGTTATTTGTACGCTATGTATCATTATTTGGAGTTAGCTAGTTATGAATGAGTATTATATTAATTAATAAATTTATAATTCAGATATCACATTAAATATTTTTAAAATTTTGATATCTTATTGAACATTTTATTATAGTTTAAAATTATTCATAACATTAACTTTATATAAAATTGGATTCTAATTCAAAGAGAAAAAAGTATAAAAGCAAAAAAAAAAAAAAGTTGTGCAAATTCAAAGAAGATGAAGAAAAGTTCTAGAAAAGTTTCCACAATGATAATTATTAATGACTATGTGTGAAAAGGTCCCAAGGTATTAAATATTCCATGTTGAATGCCTCAATTTGGTGAACTACAATATCTTTTTGGTACAAGAACTACAACATTTATAGATCTTGGGAATTTTCTTCTTTTTCCATAATATATTATTCATTAGGTGCAAAAATGATTGCAGGGAAATAATAATAAGTTCAATGATATGAAAATTTTGAATTACATATATATATATATATATATATAATTTTGAATAAAAAATTTAACTCAATTCAAACAATCACTTTTAAAATTCTGACATTCAGTAATTTTAAAATTCAAAGTTTAATATTACGCGCCCTTTCTTGATTCTCATTAGATTATAATCTTCCTTATAGCAAAAAAAAAAAATGTATACAAAACTTTCATGTTTATTCATATGATCATTATTTCTTTTGTTTTTTTTTAATTTAAATTTCGGATCATTTAGTTTGTGTGTGTGTGTATATATACTATAATAATTTTTTTTGTTTTAAAACCCATATTATAGTTGGGTTATTTTCCTTCCATTAATGTTTTTAATTATCAATACTTTGTAATATAACAATTTGCATGTGTGAAATTTTGAAACAAATAAATAAATAAATCCCACATACATGCAAAACGATATGATGATTGTTAAGCAGGGTACTATTGTCCAAAGAATGCCAAAGGTGTGCCTTTATGAGAACAATGCATATATATATTGCATGTTTGATCCACATGCATGAGCAAAATTTTCAATATAAAATATTTATTTTATTCTTCTAACTAGCTAGGCATTATTTAATCAAAACTCCAAATTAACTATTAATTTGTTTGACAATTTAGAAGGTCATGGAAATAAATAAAGCCGACATCTTTTGGTTACCCAAATCATACACTTAAGAGTAAGACAAATTAGTTTATTACCTCCTTTGACAAGTTATATGAAGAAGAAAACAGAAGGATTTCTTATGTGTTTTGGTTAGTAGTTCAGATTTAAACCAAACCCTTTTTGCTTAATCAAATGAATTCCCCCAGTCCACAATGTTAGGTTGCTAATTTGTTTTGTTAATTATAACAAAAAGATGCATGGATGATCTGTTTGAATTGGGAGCTTTGAATTTTTCTCTACTTCTTCATTTATTTCTTATATTTATTAAAGCTTTTTTTTAATAAACTTTCACATAATCTTTATCATGTCTTTTTCTTCATTTTGTTTTTCTTAATTTCCACTGTCATGTTATCAATACATAGGCTTGTCCATGGATCAGGTTGGATAGGGTTGGATTCGATTGGTCTTTCAAATTTTTTGTCCAAAATTAGGCTTGACCTGTGGAATCTAAATAAGCTTGATTATTGTTAAAATAAGTTAAAAGCTAAAGGGTGTAAAAAGTTTTTAAATTATAATTAAAAAATATCTAAATTTTTATTTCTTTTATTAATCAATTAACCCTTCTAATATTTATTTGCATTTAATTAAATTTTTATTTGGACAAAAAAGTTAATATTATTAATTTTTTTTATCAATTAAGATAAAATTTCATGTGACATCAATAAAATAAA